AATTATTTGCATCATATGGTTTGATGTTGTCCTGATCCTGTAGTTATTTGTGTTTCAGCACTCAAAGGGTCTTGCAGGAGATCAGGCAGAGCACTGCTGGGAGGGAGGCAGGGAGGAGCAGGTAAATCACTGTCAGAACAGTGGTGCAAAGGTTGAGGAGGATCTTACATTTGGGTGCTCTCTAGTAAAGAGCATCTCAAGTATTCAGTAGGGAAATCTGATTACGACTTGCACTCCTCCTGCCCTGGAGCAGCCTGTTGTTTTCCACATAGATGTTTGTCAGGTGGTAAAAGAAGGTGAAGTTTTGCAATTGGCAAGAGAGCATCCTGGATCAAAGTATTTGGTTTTTCAAGGTGAAGCTGCATTAAATTGGGGAGAAGCAAATCAGCAATAATGTAGAATAATCTCTGCATTTTATCACTCTGCTAACCCCAGCTGTAAAAGTTACCACAGGAAAGCTAATAAAATGGGAGACATGCAAGCAAACAGAGGGCACAGGACTATTGGCAAACATTTATTTTGGCTCTGGTGAGCCACTCTCCTGATCAAAGCAGTTGGAGTTTGAACCTCTTTTAAGTTGTTCCCTGCTTGGTCTGGGAGTGCCCTGCTCTTGCATCCATGGCATCAGTATCTTCTGTGAGGCTTGAGTGGAAGAAGGAAAGTATGTGTGAGGCTGCTTTACTGCAGTGTGAGACAACAGTAGCTTATTTTAGCTTTGCCAGCTGCTGCCTGGTTTAGGAAAACAACCTAAGGCTTATTGTATAACTAGATAGTACAGGCATTATCACAGGGCCAACAGGGAATGCTTTACCATCTTTCAGGCTCATGCCTGGCAGACTGAGTAGCTTTGCAACCCTTAACAAAATACCCCACTGGCAGAAATCCCTTTGAGCCTCGGGCTGGGTCCTTTGGGAAGACTCTTCTCTGTCTGGTCTCTTTGTTCAGTGTTCCCCTCTTCTCCCCCAGCTGGAGATGCTTGAATCCTTCTTGGCAATTAGTCTCCTGGCTGAAATGAATTGTTCCTCTGATCCTTTTAGGCTCCATGGCTGGTGTCTGGTGGGGGGCTCACTTGGTGAATGTGGTGTTCTTGATTAGTCTCACTGGCTGGGGAAGTACTTGAAGAGCTGCTGGGAGGAGGTAACATGGGTGAGGAATGCAGTAGTGCCATGGAGTAGAGGCAGAGGGAGGAGAAGAAAGTCTGAAGGTCTCATGAGTAGGATCTTTCTGTGCAAACATCTTGCATCTCACTTTACATGTTAAGAGCAGAACAAAAGAAGCTTTATTTCTGACTTCTTTTCCATGCTTTCCCCCCCCCCCCCTCCCTATTTTTGTTCCTTCTGTATTTTTTTCTTGTACTCTTTTGGGGAGATTGTTATAGACACCAGTATGATTGAGTTCAGATCTAGGTTAAGGCCAGCTCCTAGTGTGTTTATATTAGAGGGGAGACAACTGGGGAGCTGGGCTTGAATATATCTGCTAATACAGTGGCTGTTCTCCCTAGGTTAAGACAGTGCTCAAGGGCCACAGAGTGTCCCTGACTCAAAAGAAAATCAAGGCTGAGCAGCAAAGGAAGAGATCAGACAGCAGAAAGTCAGTTCTGTGGGTGACAGTATGCAGGGGATTGCTTGATGATATATTTTTTTCCAATTCTGAATTTGAAATGGCTCTGCATTACCTAGCCAGAACTAGGCCAGAGTACTTGTTTTTGGGGCCCTCCCTGGAGGTGTGGGTATTGAGGGCAAACTGGAACAATCCGGAAAGCTGGCAGAGCAATTCAAGCAAGACTTTGCCCTCGCTGTCCCAGAGGACAAAATAAAGACTTTCTGTTCTCATGTCTGCCACAGCCAGCTCTCCTGTGCTGTGAGGAAGGTACTGCATCCATCCTGTGGGGTTCAGTGAGGCTTTCCTGTTCTAAGCTGGCTGAGCACTGTGGCATGTGCCACATGAGTCTGAGTGCTGCTCTCCAGGGGAGCCCCATCCCACAGCTCTGCAGAAACAAGGGTCTCTGCAGTCTGTAGCCATGTGGCTGGGTGGGCAAGAGCCAGATTTCTGGGTGGACCTTCATGCTCATCTAGGGATGTGCTGCTGTAAAATGGTGGTTTGTGCCTGGCCGTCTTGGACATTGCCTGCTGAGATACAGAAGCTTCTGACTGGGCTGTGTGTGACTTGGTAGAAACATCGTAGTAACTGCTTTATTTCATCTGTATTTATAGCACACCAATTGTTACATTTCAGCCTTGTGGGAGCTCCTGGGGATCAGACTCCCATCCCATCTGTCTTGGGCATTTTTTAGTCCTGGGAAGGTTAATTGAGAACAATCTACCAAAGAGATGGGGGTCTATATTCTAGGCATATCCTTCATCATAGTCCGTTGCATGAGAGTTGAGGGTAAAAATAGATTCATGGTTTACCTTCTGTGTCCTCTGCTGGGATAAAACTTTTTAAAATACCACCCTTTAGGTATCCTGCTTCCCTCACTCCCATTTCTTATGCTGCAGAGCATTACCAAAAGAATAAAATGGAGCCACTGTGAGTTTATTTTAGGGCTGTACTAGAAAGCGTAGATGGTGTATGAGAAATTGAAACAATGGATCTTTATGGAAAGAGTAGCATCTTTCAACATAACAGAATTAATAACAAAGACACTTGCAGTTCAGGCAGTTTTGCCAGCAAATGCTGAGAGCCCATAATCTGGCTGTGGGATTCACTTGTGCCTCATCCTTCTGACTTCAAGGCGAGCTGGCTGGAAATGTGCTGGTCCTTGTTTTGGCAAAACCCAACTGTCTCCTTGCTCAGGCTGCAAATCCCTGGAGGATGTTACTGTTACCCTTGCACCACTAAGCTATGTTCAGAGCCTGGATGTTGCTACAGTGTCCTTACTAACCTCTTTGAAGCTCTTTCACAAAGACACCTGCAGTAGCTACCAAATGTATTTGAATTCAGGTGTGATGGTGTGAAATACACCTCAGACCTTCTGGAACAGCCAGGGATTTTTTAGCTGTGCTGGGATCAATGAAACTGAGCCCTGTTTTTTGTTGCTTCAGAGATAAAATTCCTGCCTTGTGGGCAGCTGAGGCCTCCAACAGCTTCTACTACAGATGCTCTAGGGGAGCACTGCGAGGAGGTGAATCCTGTCTCGTTTGTTGTGGTGGGATTAGGGGTGCCTCCAGGTGTGCCCCAGGGTATAAGGAGCCCAATAAATTTAACTAAGAGAATCTTTGCTTTTATGGGATCGATTTCAAGCAGAAGTACTTAAACTACCACTGGTTTTGCTTTTCATCTGATAACAGACCAAGAAGCTCGGTGGAAGGAATTTGGGTTTTAGTCATGCTCTTGTTGTGTGGTTGTGGTGGAACAGAGCTGAGCAAGTGGACTCTTGTGTGAGTGCTGCTGCTGAATGTGGTTTTGTTAGCTTCTCCTCAAGGTCTAGCTCTTCTGATATCTTATGGGGAATCACAGGAAGAGGTGAATCTGAAGGGCTGCTAATGTGAGGAGAAAACATTGAGCTTGTGTCCTTTATTAGTTATGAAGATCTAAATGCAGCAACAGTGGTGACTTGGATGAACTGCTTCCAAACCAGCATCAACACTTGAGTTGAACTCTGCTCTGGGTTGTGGTGGCCAAAGATGGCCTTTTTTTTTTTCCAGATCAGGGTATAATAGAAATGGGCTGAGACAGCAGTCTGCTAAATGTGCTTTATTCCATTTTGTGGTGCTTGCTGGTTCATGTTCAACAGTGCTAAGCCTCCCTAATGCAAGTCAGACATCAAAGACTTGCTCACCTTTTCTGGAAAGGCAGGTGAGAATTTCACTGCCTGTGAGGAAAACAAGGGACTATCCCTTGCTGCTAGCTGTTGGCTGCTCTCTGGTGTTGGTCATCTATGAAGCAGGGATGTTCTTGCTGCTCAGGAATTTGTCTGAGCCACAGCATGTGTGTATGGAGGCCATGTGTCAGAGCTTCTGTGTGGCCAGCTGCCCTGGCTGTGCATGCTTAAACTCTCCAAGATGATGTATACAGCCCAGTGCTTGCTGCCATCCTTCATGAGCCTGTGCTCACCTCCAGGACCCCCCTGTGACTCGGAGTCCTGCCCATACCTTTCCAAATCAGACCTCAACCCTACACGTAATCCTTACCCTACACTTCCAGTCTCCCCAAACAGATCTCCACATTCTCCAGCCCAGGATCCTAATCCCATGTGCTACCCTACACTTGGTTATCTAACTATCCGTCAGCTATGCCAGCTGCAAAGGCTCCTGGAATGAGAGAGCTGCACCTGGGAGTGTAACTTGTGTTTACTTTTGGGGGTTCATCCTCAAAGCAAGTAACAGTTTGTACTCTGCTAAAGTAAAATGTGTGTCAACATGACCGATATTTTGTAATAAAAGGTGCTCATTTAAATTGTTTCCCTTGATCTCCCTCCTTCCCCCCTTCCCACTCCCCTGCCCCATTTTAATCTTTGGAAGGATCCTTAAATAATGAGGAAAAAAAGAAGAAAAAATACTCTTTCATTATGAATTTATTAAGAAGCAAGAAGAACACATAGGTTATATAAAGAATGATTCACATATCACTTAAAGGGCACTAAAGAACAAAAATTCCAGGCAGATTCCAGAAGATCTGAGTGGTAGCAATCCAGTGACAGGGCATGGATCACTGGGAAAGAAAGGCATGTTTGTCCTATCAGGTCTTTGGTTGTGGTTATAATGAAATCTGTATTAGTGGAGGCTCCAGATAGGCCCCGGGGAAGACTGAAAATGTTGAGTGCTGTAACATCATAATATGACAAGTCGTCTTTAGCCTGTGTTAGAAATGGGTAAGTCCATAATTTACTGCAAAATAAAAATATTCAGGTTCTTGCCTCTTCCTCATGCTATTTTCATCCTAAAATGAGAATGCTGGTATTGGATACTTTTAGTTGCATATATTTACTTGTGTATATTACTTGTATATATTAGAAGCAAAGGTGGGCTACAGTGTACATTTAGAGATAAAATTACCACTAGAGGGTCTAGTGACTTCTTGAAAACAGTGAGTTATAAAGAGCAATAGCATCAGAACTACCTGTGTAGGGACTGTTTTCCTTCAGAATCATTGTAACATGCAAGCAGCTAATTTGGCTTTAATAGCTTTGGTAGTCTGTAGCTTTTCATGAGATTAGTTTGTTAATAATAGTCTAAATAATTTTTCACGGTAAAATCGGCACAAGCAACAAGGGCATGATCTTCATTAGTCAGCTTTGCTGTAATAGTGTAATCTCCCTGTGTGAGACAAACACAAAGCAAAAGATTAGCCCATCAGTAGTATATAACTGCTTCTGTTTCTATGAGGGAGTCCTCCTCCTAAAAACTGAGTAATACATTTCCCATCAAGTTGATCCAAAAACTTTTTGTGTCCGAATGAGATTCAAAACTGGTAAAGGACTTGCCTATATTTTCTGCCAAAATATTCTCATTGGGGATATCAATGCTGACAGCACAAGTTCAAAATTAAACCAGTACAAGAGGAACAAAATGTTTTGATGCATGGAAATGCCTTTCAAATCTGTTTAACTTCCCATTATTCCTATGGGCAAGAATAGTGTGGCCTGTGCTGTTTAGTAATTGGAAGAGGAGGAGGTGCTTGGTTGTCTGGCACTGCTCTTCCTTGGATCTTGTTGTTCAACATGTACATTGTTATTGATATTCATTTTTATAAAAGAGAGCACCTTGAGGGTTGGCTTGTAGAGAGGACTCAATTTGCCATGAATTCCTGTATGATAAAACGAGGTAGTTTAACTTCAAATTGTATTGCTAAACCTATTAATAATTTAGGCTTTAGGGAGAACTTTCATCATTGCAGTGCAAAAAGTCTCAACCTTAAAGAACCTGTGGCTTTAGTGGTCAAAACTGTTCTCTCCAGACACTTGGAGAAGGAGAAGCACTGGGCAGGAGAGGTGACAAGGCCCATTAACAGATTTGGAGGAAGAGATGAACTGGATGTTATTCACTCTAGATTTCTGGCTCTGCAGTGTATCTTTTTTTTTTTTTTTTTTTTTTTCCTGGAGCTTGGAGGGGAGCAAAACCTGGAGTGGGAGAGTTTGGCAGCAGTGACCTCCTGGCCTTGAACCATAGAGAAACCTTGCCCTGCTCAGAACTCTTCTGCTTCTGGAGTAGAAGAAGGTGCAGCTAGAATGACTCAGGCTTCTTGACATTTGCCTTTTACCATGGGATTTCTAAAGCAGTAACTGGCCTGTGTCCTCACAGAGAGGTTCAAGCTCAGTGTAACTTCCAAATTTAGAGAGAGGCCAAATGGCAGTATGCTCATGAGAATACAGCCTTGTTGTAATTGCTGTGCAGTCTGCACAAATGTCCTTTGGGCTGTTCTTTGTAATAAGGAGATGATCACTGCATGGAGTAACTCCTTATTGCAGGCGTGGAAGGATTATTTGCCTGATTGATTAATTAACAAAAAAGGCTTCCTATTCCCTTTCTCACAAGCATGTTAATTCTCCAAAAGCTTAGAGTTTCATAAATGGAAGAGGATTTATAGTAACTCATTTCCATTGCTTGTTGCTGATGAGATTTTTTTTTTTCCTCCTCCAGAATAATTTTTTGCTCATGGGCAAAAAATGTTATTAAAAGGAGGATTGTGAACAGTCATGGAATTTCTGGCTCCAAATTCAGCTAATTTGCTCAGAATTGAAGTTTTACTGGTCTGAGTGTATGCTTCTAGGGCTTATTTTTGCTGTAAAGACCTATAATTCAAATTCTCTAATGCCTGTATGACAGAAGTGTCCTCAGTCTGTTAGTAAAGCTGCTCTTGGAGCAGGAGAGTGACTGATAGGAGCTTAGGTACTCCACTGTAATAAAAAAAGGGCATTGATGGACACAGCATCTCTAGATGTAGCCTTCAAGGAAGCAGGTTGGTAAGGGTGGGATAACAGGCTGTGTAAGGGGGCCCAGCTTAGCTTTCTGTGTGAAAGCCTTGGAAAAATGAAGGGTTTGTTTGCTGCTATCACTGAGGCAAAACTGAGACCTGAGATGGTAGCTGTTACAGAGGCTGGATCCTGTTAAAAGCCAGCTATCCTTGATATCACCTCTACAGGTCTGGGCAAGCCAGGGTCTCTGGGACTCATGTCCTTGTTTTGTATCTCTGTTCTGATCCTGTTTTCTACTTTTGCTGCACCTGGACCAATCCAGTGCTGAGCAGGCCCCCTATCTCATCTTTGAAGCTGTGACATAGGTTTTATCTCTGCTCCTGAAGAACTGAGAGCTCATGCTGTGCTTCTTTGTGTGAGTAAATCTAAGCAGTGTTTTATCACCTGAACTGTGAGACTTCACAGTGGTGGTGACCATGAGCCACATTCTCAACTAGATGCCTTGATGATCCAGATCTGGCCTTCTTCCCTCCAATCTAGTCTCTTGGCGTATGTGGCTAAAGATCCTCTGCTGTCTACTGGTCAAATATAGATTCATGTTGTAACAAGTAGTATGTTTGGCACTTGAGACCTATCTTGCTTTACAATGTGATTTGGTTGACCTTTAAGGATGGAACTTTGCTCTGTGTGGAGAAGGCTGCTTGTAAAGAGCACCAGTATTGGATGACCAGGAAATTCAGAGCAATTCACGGAGTACTGTCTGTTTTCTCACCTTTCTAAGACATTGTTTTCTTATTTTAAGGCTGCATAAGTCCAGGCAAATTGTTCTTGATCCAGTAACTTGTACTTTTGTTTGCAACTTAGGAGACCTCACTAACACCATATATGTGTAGTAGAACACGTACAATTGCATCTGCATGGCTGCATGACTTAGTGCTGGTAGAGGGGATCTGCTATCCTAAGAAAACCTGTCTGTCTCTGGATAATGGTGGTTGTCTAATACCTTCAGCAAAGCCACTTAATATTGGAAAGGGCTGGTCATGCAAACGCTATCAGATCCAGTGTGCCAGCTGGGGGAGCTTGGAATGTGCTGATAGGATTGCTGGCAGTCTTCTGACCATACCTCATCCAGAAAGCCCTTCTGCTTGGAAGCACAGCTGTGACCAGCTTACCTGTGGGATTTCTTTGATTCCCAGTGTGACTGGTCCCTCATAATAGAGATGTTCTGAAAAGCAAAAATGGTGATGGAGGGTTAGGCATATGCAGCACGTAAAGGAAGCAAGCAGCTGGTTGTAGGTGCTTTTTGGTAATAGCACCGTGAACTGTTGCAGTGACAAGAGTTACGGAACAGCAAACTGCTCTGTACAGTCGTGTGACAGCCCTTCTGAGAAATACAAGTTGTGTTCTGCTGTATGGGAAAGGCAGGACAGGGCCTGGGCTCAAGGAGGACCCGGAGTCCCTTTCTCAGTGGAGGAGGGGGTCATGGGTGACCACAGCTGGGTGGGTGTTCCTATGTCAGCCTACATTCTGCAAATGGGGAAATGAAAGGGGAGAGAGGTTTCTAGACACAGGTCCTTAGCATGACATGTTAAACACCTGCAGCTGCAACAGTTGAACTATACTGTTCTGGTAGCTTTAAGAAAAACTCATCTGAGCTGAATGTTTCTCTAGGTGTCGACTTTGCTTGCTGAACATGACCTTAAAGGAATATGTCTGTCTCATTGCTAAGGGAGCATTCACCAAGAAGTTACATGATGTGCTAAAGCCACTACAAGTTGGTGACCCGAACAGAGCCCAGGAGTTCCACCTTCTAATCCTTATCTTCCTAATGGTGAGGCATGCTTGCTCTTTGCTGTTGAAGAAAGGGCAACTTTGGCACTAATGGACAGAATTAGCAAGCTGTTCTGCAGTTCCTCCTACTTTTTCATAGCTTACTGGGCCAAACTGCACAGACTTGACTGAAAATAAAATTTGTAGATGTTTGAGTATTTCAGAAATTCTTGCCCAATTTGTCCTCCACAAGTTGTGGAGAAGTCTAAGAACTGTTTAAGGATTCTCTTTTGTAGGTGTCATGAAATATTCTTTACTTTGACAGTGACAGAAGAGTGTTTAATCATATTTATATGAGTATGTGTTGTCATCTTGATGCTTGTCACTTCTGGAGAGTTGTTTCAGTCCAGCCTTGCTGTGCTGGTTTAAACTGTTTCTTGTGAAAGGTTGGACAAAAGGTTTGTAACATGTTTATGTAGTATGGTCCATCCCATAATGCAGTAGGTGTCTGACTGGGAAAGAATCTGCAGAAAGTCTTCCCCATGCTATGAAATGTTAGTCAGTGCCTTAGAACAAACTTATATTAAGAATTATGAATATAAGATGAACTAGGAAAGAGTTAAGAGAAACCTGGGACATGACCAATGAGGAGTTTGTTAACTATAAAGCCCTGATGATCCTGGAAGCAGGAGAAGATGTGAAACTTCTCAGTGTTGCCCTGTAAAACCTAATACCAAAACAGAGTAAGTATGTTTGGCTTGTCACTCTGAACTGAGTTATGTTGCAGCATTTGTACTGTACTCGCTCCTCTCTGCATCCCTGGCTACTTCACCTGGACACTAAGAAGTCTATTCCTTTTCAAAGAGCAATTGCCATCACTGCTGGCTTCTGTGCATGAAACAGGAGCCCTGGAGTCTGATGCATCTCCTCTGCAGAGAACGATGACTCAAGAGTTTTAAAAGATACAGTACAGCCCACTTCTCTGTTCACAACTTCACTAGAGTCTAAATGGGAGTTAAAGGCACTGCAGACTGCATGACTGGGTGATGAGTGGCTCCCTCGGTACTTGAGCTGCGTGTTGATGTGTGCTAAGCCATGTTGTGAGCTGCCCCCTCAGGGTGGTGTGGGCCATGCAATGGCGTGGTCTGTGTGTCCTTTTGTTCAGCAAAGAGCCTTGTTTGTCTCTCTCTCCTTCAGTCAACTCTGAGCCTAACAAACCTTGGATGGCCCCAGGGAGAGTGGAGAGGAAACCGGGCTGTGCACTGTCCATTTTCACAGGGATGTGGAAACTTCTTTAGGATCATGTGGCTTGTTAGGGTCTCAGGCTGTCAGAAAGCCATCAAAAATGTAAACATACAGATGCAGCATTCAGGCTCTGCAAAGCCTACATTTTAAAATGAAGTAGGAGTCATCAGGCCATAAATTTGCTTCTGAAATGATGGCAATGCTAATCTCTCCTTCAGTGTAGGTAGAAGCTATTTCCCCCTTCCTCCCCCTTTGCTGTGACAAAGTAATGATTACATCAGAGCTAAATGAATCCAGCTTTAAGGCTCTGCCTCAGGCCTCTCTGAGAAGTTTTCTGTAATTTCTGGTAGTTATACCTTTGCTTGGTAATCAATTTAGTCACTGGTATGGGCTGTACGATGTTTTAGGGGTCCTCAAACTGTCGAGCTAGATGTTGTGTGTCCAGTTTGAGGTCCATGTTTACTACTTTGTGCTTTAGCATTGCCCTTATTTAGCTTTTTCTAACCAGGGGTCTGGCAGTGGTTCACAGCTGTGAACCTGTGTGCTGTGGAGCTACTGGTGAGAGTCCAATGGAGGGCCACTGGGATGATCAAGGGATTGAAACACCTCTCCAATGAGGAGAGGCTGAGGGAGCTAAAACCATCAGCCTAGAAAACAAAGATTAGGGGAGAGCACATCAGTGTGTACCAATACCTGAAGGGGGGAGAGGTGCAAAGAAGACAGAGCCAGGCTCTTTCCTATGGTGCCCAGTGATGGCACAAGAGCTGGTGAGAACAAGCTGAAATATGGGAGGTTTCTCCTGGACATTAGAAAAGACTTGTGACCTTCCTTGCTTCAATCATGTGGGTAAAAAGTACCGTGCTGTTTTGAAAGTATGTCCTGATAGGAAAGCAAGGGCACCTTTAATTTTCAGCTAGTTGAGTCCTGAAGGAAATAATATGGATCTGCTGAATTTTATTATTCATACTCACTTTGGACCATGGCAACCACCTCAGTGCCTATGCTGGCTGGATCAGGCTTTTCAAATCTCATTTAGTGTTCCTTTCCCATGAGGATTTCTCCTATAATTCCAGACGTGTAAACATCCTCCAAGGCTTTAAGGACTATAGTTTGTCACAGCATCCTTCATATGCTCACATTTTTCTCCATGTATTCATACATTTTTGCATTCCTCAATTGAAAGAGGATGAACACATCTGCTGCAGCAAATGTAACTGTCACAAACACTGAGCCTAGTTCATTGAAAGAATTCTGTGGGCTTTTTAGAGCGAGCCCAGATGTAGTTGCAAAAAACGTATGAACATTGGGAAAAGCATAAATCACAAATGCATTTTTCCAATTACAAAGTCCCATATGTCTTTATTGGTCTGCTAGTCAGTTATAGTATGTCAAGCCTGCTGTCATCAGTGATGTGCTTTCAGTCGACCTACCATGTTCAGTCTTTTTTCTTAAAGTTCTTACTGAAGGTGACTTCTATAAAGCACCCTGGAAAATGCTTGATATTGTATTAATTGTAGCAGCTTTTCACTATAATTTCTAGCAAAAGTAACTTGTCCTTCTCCCTGTCACTGAGTAGGCCTCTAGCAGCTTCTAGTCTGAGGCAGAGTTTTAAAAAATGTTAGAACTTCCTGAAGATTACTTCAAGTTACTAGTTATCATTTATCATGAAGATGCCTCCCATTTCTGACTAAACACCTATAATGAAATTCTCACTCCTCTTTCTCAGATCTTCCTTGCACTGAAAATCTTTAAACATTCTCACACTCTTGTACTATATAAAGGCCTTGTACATCTGCACCCACCTCTTCCTTTTGCTGTTTTAAATCTTTTTAGAACTTAAATGCTTCGTGTTGGAGCTCTTCTAGGACACGATCTTGCACCCATGCAACTGACACACAACTTCTGTGAGTTTTAGGGATACAGGAATGATCTGAGTAACTGTCAGCTATAGGTGCATAGATGAGTGAGAAAAATATAAATACATATATGTATATAAATACATAGCTGGGTGAGAAACATCCACTCTTTTTACTGGGGAGGAAAAAGTGAGATGAGGGGCTAAGCAAGGCAGCCTAAGGTCTTGCTTTGTGATGTGGCTGCTTTCTCAGAAATGTGAACCTAAACTCTGTGTGATACCCAGTTCTGTAACTTGTTCTCTGCTTCTATTCACAAATACTACTTTAGAAACTTACTGCAATGCCAACAAAAAAGGGGCAATAATGTAAGGAATGGAGACTTGGAGCAAGGGAGGTTTTCTCTATGGTTTGGGAGTGTGCATAAAAATTGTGCAAGTTCTGGGATGGTGCCTTTATCAGTTGGAACTGAAAGAAAACTTGTGAACTTGCAGGGGATGCAACTATCTTGTCAGGAAGTTTTGTTTAAGCCTGCAAGCTGTGGTTGGCACATTGCTAAACATGACCCTGGTAGGTCTTTTTCACCCATTTTAGTGATTACATTAGGAAATCTGTTAAATCTTGCGTAACTATTTGCTTTGAAGGAAATGGGAAATAACCAGCACATTCTACTAAAAAAGAGGAAGAGCTGAGTTCATGTTATGCCACAAAAAATTTAGCAGTTTTTGTTGTTGTTCTTCTGAAATGGACAGCTGCCCACTTCCATGCAACCTTTGAGCTAGCAACTTCACAACAGTCACATAGCTCAAAGAAAAAGTTTTTGGAATCCTATTTAGGAGTCCCAGTGAGCAGTGCTAAATGTGACCTTTGCTTAACTCAAATAGTAAATACTATATTATGGTCCTGATGAACATGAAACCTGCAGCTATTTTCAGTCTCCTGAAGTATTTCCAGTCAGGGCAAAACTGTACCATTATAGGAGAGCAAAGGGAAAAGAAAAAAAAACACAACCCAAACCCACACCACTAAATATCAAAGACTCTGCCACATCTGGCTCTTATAAGTCTCTCTTCCTTTAACTACTGCTCTCCTTGTCCATATGAGTGAGTGGACCAGCAAAGTCTGTAGCAGAGCTAAAGTCTGTCTCCTTTTGGGAAAAGCAGGATCAGACAATTTTTGGTCTACTTTTAGAAGGCAAGCAAATTCTATGTGGAGCTGTATTTAAACTCGGGTCAGGTCTGGCCAGATGTTGGAAGTGTTGCCTATACAAGAGAGGAAAAAAGGACTCTGCATGAAAAGCTTCAGCTGAAAGAACTATCTGCTCCTCTGTACCTTTGCAAGGCTGCATGCATGGCCATTCACAAGGTTGTACTTTCTGCATAAGTATTAGGTCAGATTTATGGTTGTGCTAATATGGTAAATTATGACTGTGCTAAATTACCTCAAACTGGTCTTCAGCTCACTTGTGTCCTAAAACATTGGTTAGAATCAAATGTCAACTAATTATGAAATACCACCTTTTCAGTTTGAACCTTAGTCTGAGAAAGTTCACTTTCGCACTGTGACTTTAATTACTAAATTAAAAGCAAGTACTGAACAAGAGGGTGTGTATTAAAAGGTGTGTAGCAATGATCCTTGCACTAACTTGGGGTTGCTTCTAAGTGAAGATATGTATTATTATTTAAACAACCAGTTATGACTTTATATCATCATGTACTTCAATTAATAGAACCAATCACCTCTCTGTTTAAAGGGCCTGGAAACCTCAGGAGGTTTTGGCTTTGTGGCTTAATGTATGAATAGCATTTTGTGCTCAACTAAGGAGTGATTCCACTTCTCTTTTATGTATTCTCTAAAGATTGTTATTTAGTACTTCATCAGAATTAGTTTTTTTTGAGCAAATCTGTGGGTGTTTTTTTTCCCTTTGTCATTCAATACACAATGAAGAAACCTCTGATTTTAATTGTTTGTCTATCTGGCTTACAGGATTTACACAATTGTTTGCTCATGCAGGTTTTCTCTATTTTGTGATATTTCTATGTTGTATGAAATATCTTACTAATTTTCTAGGGGCTGTCTTAGCAGTGGTGATATGCATGGTCTTTAAACTCATAGCCCTACCACATGAATTATTACAGCATTATCAGGATGAAGATGCAAGTGAATGGAAGGAAAGCAGAGCTGCTGAAACTAACTGGTGCTCTAACAACTTGAAAGTCTGCCACTTCCTTGCAGCTTTACCTGCTTATTTTAAAATCAGCCTAAAGAGATGATCATGATGTAAGAGGGATTTCAAAATAACCATTTAAGATACGACAGCCCAGAGGCATGACCACAGTTCTTCTGGACACAGTAGGGCTAGCCTTGCACTACTTGGCCTGCATCACAACAGCAGGGATCTCGGGGTGCCCAGGCTCACCTGGGACCAAAGATGCCTACTCTCTTCAGACAGCTAATGCCACTGTATATCAACTGGTGCAAATCTTCACCATTTGGCAGTTTGGCATGATCTGAAGTAATCTTACTGCTGCACAGGCACATGTTGAGCCGAAACAAGATTCAAACCATAGATGACATTCAACAGTATCTTGGTCCAAATATTCTTGTTAAAGCAGAAATCCTCAAAGTGAGTTAAGAACTGCTTTTAAGGACATGGAAGTGTTACTTGCTTAATAGTGAAGAACATGTTCAGAACAGCTTGTTTGTTTGCTCAGCCATTTCTTTGACAAAAATAAAGGCCAGTTCTGCAATACTTCTTGCTCACATGACAGCCATGTGGCTATAAATAGGGCTTAGGGACCTCTCTGCTGTTTGGTAGGGTCACGTTACCACAGTTATTTTTTATGGACTTAAAATTCCATGTCCATGTGATATTCTGTAATTCAAAGAAAAGCAAGCAAACAGGTTAGGGGAAAAAGCAGGCTCTGAAGTGAAAACATCTCTGCCCTACTGTGTTTCTGTCATCCATTAACACGCTGTTGAAGTAAACAGAACATTACGATGTATTGGTGTGTTCAACAGCACAGTGGGTGTGTCCTGCTTGGAGTATTCAGTAGCCATGAAACATGGGGTGCTACCTAACTTACCTCCTTTCTTCTTTCCACAAAAAATAAGCTTAGAATGACCCGGCTCACAAAGTGTGTCTGAGTAGCTCAGGACGGTCTTTCCATTCATGATTAGGTCAAGCTTGACACGCAGTTCCTTGATGTTCTCTCCTACACACAAAGCAGGAGAGCTCAGAGATAGTGCAAAGATAAATAGGTTTATTAATTTATTTTTAAAGATATGCAATCTTTTCCTCTGGTGTTTAAGCCATTGCATGCTTTTTCTTCATGGATAACTCCTGATATACAGAAATCCATGCTTCAAGAGCAGGTGTCTAAGTTCCTTGAGGTATAGAACAGAGGACTTTAACAGCATGTATTTTGATTGTTAAACTATGTTCGTTTCCACTCTCTGACACTAAGGCCAGCTAGTTTAAGTGAAGCTTGTGTCCATGTACCAAAGCTGTTTCTTCCCTTGTGTCCCTAGTAGAGGGACCACAGCAGGCCTGTACCTTTTGCCTGGGAAAACAGTAGCTGGCCTAAGCCAGACATGTGCCAGAGACCAGTCTGGCAGCCTTAGGAGGCTGCCTTCTTGTGCCTAGCTTGCTAACGTACAGCCAGTGAGGCTACTGGATTTAGAGGCAGGCCCTGTACTCAGAGTTGTTGAAAAAATATTTGCAAATGCCTATAATTTGATTTTGGGGGTTTGTTTAAAGGCAAAAGGGCAGCATGTATCACGAGAGGGACACCTTTCGCATGGAAGCAAGCGTTCCCCGGGCACTTGGCACACAAACTTATTTTCATCACCAGGAGCATACAGTAGCACTCTCATACTTAAACCCTGGTAGTAGAGGTTATAGGTGAGCCAATGAGGCTGTCAGAAGGGGGCTTCCTTGTACAAACATCACAAGTCAAACTATGGCTAATATTAACTTGAGCACTCAGCCTGTTAGTGCAAATGCAATTCTGTTTTTGACCTTTCATTCATTGCTGATCAGTCAAGTGCTGGAGGGTATAATTTCAGTTAGCACAGGTGGTGAGCTGTTGGCATGACTGCTAGCTAGCATGGCATGACTCAGGCTAGCACTCCTGCAGTGCTCTGGATCCCCAGCATGCTTCTTTGCATGTCCAAGCACTGCAGAGAGGTGCCCCCACCTTACTCCATGGGACTCCCTTAATTCAGTCTCCCATCTGCAAGGGCTGATCACCTTGGTGATTTGGTAAGCACTGCTGGTGCTGACACAAGAGTGGGATTGCTGTAGCTGTCTCATTCAACAAGAGTCTCCTCAGAAGAGTTAGCTGTGAAAACAACCTCTAGAACCCCTTGGCTATCCATATGTACAAATGAAAAGCAGGAGAGGAACAGGGGCTGGGGGCTGATATGACCTGCTTAGGGTGACACACATACTCTGAGACACAGCTGATAAGAGAACTGATGTTTCTGTAGCCTGTGCAGGTTTTGAAATTTCTCAGCCCATTCGTATTTTATAGGAGGCTGTCACCCTTGCTTACTTTTCAATACTCACACACGGATTACCTGTTTGTGGTGTGAGAAAACAGCAGTTCACTTACTTAAGACCATTGCAGCTCTGACGTTAAAGGTTTGGCTTGCAATTTCGGAGCAACGGTCAATGCTGAAAGCAAAATCTTGCTTGGGATCTATTTGGAGACAAAAAGGGTAACAAGTTGCATTTTTAATGAGATACTGATTGTATAGAAGAAAACAATAAAATATAGAGGAATTATTAAAACAACAGATTACATATTCCTTAGAAATTCTGCATGATGTGCTCAGAGTTCCCCTACTTTGTGTTTAATAGTTGCTTCTTGCCATTTCAATCTGAAGCACGTTCAGATGATGGCCTATGTGTGGCTAAAACCTACTGTGTGGGAAAATGAGCCAAGTTCAGGAAAAACAAGTTCCCCACAGTGATGGGTAGTTAATAATCATTCAACAGTGAAGTCTTTGCACAGCTGCTCTTCCAAGGCTCTGTGCATTGTCATTCCTTCCTCAGCACTGATGAGCAATTGGCTATGAAGATGATCTTTAATTCATTTGTATCACAAGATGGCTTGGTGAGGCTGGTTGGCAATCTGAATTCTGAAGTGGGATGAAAAGTCCAAAAATGAAGATAAAATTGTGTAACTGAGATTATGCAGTGTTTGGTGCTGGATCCACCATCATGTGCTATCTCTAACCCAGGAAATATATTTCTCTCTCTCTGGGAGAGTTTAGCAGAGCTGAGGATAAAGGGAGCCCTACAGCTGATGACTGTCATGAATGTGGCTTTTACCAGCTCCCACAGTGTCTGTTTCTCTTCATGAAGCTCCAAAACTCCTGTACAAAAGCAACTGTTTTCCCCCCACTTCCACCTTCTGCCTTGCTAGCCTCCATGAGACTGTGCTATGCCTGAAGCCTTGCCAATGTGTCACTCCCTGGTGACAGCCGGCAGCAACAACTGACAGCTCAGCTGCTGCAACCAGCAACACGTGCAGGTATTTTCCAGAGCTGTGTTTGAGGCTCAAGACTTGGCCAGTTTGGCAGCATATCATCTTGAGCCTCAAGTATTTTTGTAGGCATGGCTTTGTCCCTCATGGTGGCTTTCCAGCCAGTTTATGCATCTAACTTTCTTCTCTGTGGAAACCAGAGAAGTAATTGCAACACACACAGAAGCAGATGTAGACTCCCTGGTTTACACAGAGCTGATGGTGACCTAAGAATTAAATTCTGTTTCACAGTTATTGTTTCTTGAGGTATTATTATCACTGAATTGAAAATAACAAATTTATCCTCTCATGCTGTGGTGAAACTTAAATCATGAGTGTTCTTTGTGAGGCCGAGCTAGCATTTCTGGAGTCTGGCCCTATTTTTGCAGCAGTACCCCACTGCTGTAGCAGCTGGCAGGGAGCAAGCCTGGATGACCAAAGCCTAATTGCTTGGAGGGGAGCATGACTTGAATGAAAGTGCCAGGAGGAGCTGGGGCTCTGACAAAGCCGGACTTTGCAGCACATGGATTCTCAGTGTGGTCCAAAAGGAGCTCCCAAGTTCTAAGATCTGATAAATAAAAATAACTGTTTAAAGGAGAAAGATAAAAGTCACTGGTATTTCCTACAGTTCTCTGTCTCTCTGCTGGATTTTGTCCTCCACACTACTCAATCAGTCTCTGCAGCTGCATTATCTGCTTGGGACAAAACTTGGAGTCTGAAGTTGTTTATCACCTACTCGAGTGTGACAAGAGTCAGAAGGTTGTTTTTCCTCCCTTTCCATATTCCTCTTGGTCCTTGCTTTGTTATTGCAGCTTCAGAAACTGTTTCATTGGGGTAGGAGAGCAGTTTCCTGCTCCAGCTGGAAAGCATGTCAAACTTCTCTTTTCTCTAGGACCGTTATGCCTGTTTCCCTTCTGGTCTGTACCACCTCTCAGGGCTTAGTTTCCGTTTTCCTCTGGACTGCAAGAGCCCTTCTGGGTTTTGCGTGGTGAGACAAAGTTGAGGAAACAGCTGTGCAGATTCAGAGCAACTTTGGCGTTGATGCCTACAAACAGTGCTGGTTGTCAGATGACTAAAATTGTCAGCTCTGTAATTCCCAGAGGGAGCTGTTCCAGCACTGCAACATACAGGATGCTCTTTTTTTTTTTTTTTTTTTTTTTTTCTAAGAGGCTAGGCTGTGTGTTGGTCAACAAACTTCTAGCCCTAACCCTATTATTTAATCTAAGGTCAAACTTTCTCATCAGTGACCCTTTGGCTGCAAAGGGGATGTTCATGAAGCTAAGCTTCTTAGAATGAACCTGATTTCAGGGTTGTTTTAGTTATGATGTCTCATGCCTGCTTTATTTATTTATTTATTTTCTATGGATTGAGCTCCTTTGACGGGTGACATGGTATGTTGTAGCCATGGATGTCTTCTACTGGACCGCTAGTGATGCAGCGTAGGACTCTGGTGTATCCAGAGAACTGTTGACTGGTTCTCTAGAGAAGAAAAAGCATGGGACCACTCACATGAGAAATTCCAGCAAAATTTGTTAATTAGAGCGCTTGGATTTTGTGGTGTTGCTCTATTGCTGAGAAATGAAAACTGGCAAAAGAAACCTCAATTTTCTGACCATCTTTCTGTGGAAATTCAGGCTGTGACTTTACAATGCAATGTCTTAGATGCTGCGGTGCACATGGTGCCCTCCTGCTGAAATGACTTGAAGGGATGGCTGTGTTGCTAAAGCTATGGTGTCAAGGAGTCTGGATTCCAAAACATGTAGGCAGAAAGGTTTCTGCAAAAAGGCAATTGAAATAAAATAGTGGGTTTAAATTATTTGATAAATGAAGATGTCTGTAAATTAAGCTGTGCACTCTGAACTAATGTATGGTGCCCTACCCTTCTTTAAATGCTGAGGAGTCCCTCGTGTGGCAAAGGCAACTTGAGTTACCATTTTTGTGTTTCATCTTGGATGCACAACTGTGAGTCACTGTGTCTCTTACGGAAGTTTAATACTTATTCTTCCTTGTTTGCCTCTATCTGAAGTGAGCTGCTTAGACTGAAAAAAATACATATTATGTCTTTCACATGTGAAGAGCAATAACGTTTACCATTAAATCTCTAAAATACGTGGGGCTGCCCTTCAGCCTTCCACTTCCCTGAAACATTTCATAGTGCACAGTACTGTATGTTCCCAGACTTCCCTCCACCCACTCCTTTCAATCTGCTCCCTCTTCCATAATTAAAACTAGTGTCTCTAGACTAGAAACTAGAGTTTCTAGAGTAGAAACTCTTGAACTGCTTGCAGGGTTTTGCTTTTCTAGTACAGCTTTGATATAACAGCAATGCTTAAAACGTTGCTGGAAATTTTGCAAACGTGTTAAGGTTTATCAGTAAAAATCCTGCTTATTGGGGGAAAGAGGGGTTTTTTTCTGTCCCTGTGAGAAGGCCTTGGGCTGCAATATACTTGCAGCTAGCATGAAGGTGCCTGGTAGCAGGATTTTGACTGAAGTATCTCTCTAGACAGTTCTAAATCTTTCAGGCAACTACTTGGGGAGAGTCAGGTCTTTAGCTCTTTTAAACAATCAATGCACTGTAAGGTCTCTTAGACCTGTTACTTGAACTTGATGCTGGGGCTAATGCTGAGCTCACTACTGTATCCAATACTGAATGGATGGCTCTCACTGAAGATTGGCTTCTGTAGCACAATCCTGCTTTGTGAGAGGTAAATTTGGGATGTACCTGGCATCTTGCTACTGCTCATATGTTACCTGGCAGAGTGCCAGCTGACCGCCTGCATTCCACCTTCCATTTCACTCAAGTACTCTAGTGGAGATGTATCACTATATTGGCTTGGGATGTAGTTTTCCTTGCTTATGGTCTGTAGTGCATAGTACAACCTAGAAGCTCAGAGGAGTTCCTCAACTTTTCTTTCTACAGTTTCTTTTCCTGCTCTTCTTCTTGGCAGAAGGTTCATAGGTAAACTACCTCAGACATATTTACAGTCATGTATCTGTGTGACCATCCTGCCTGTAAGACTTATACCTTTGATGGAGATTATTACTCCAGGAAGAGGGACAACAGATGGGGGGACACTCTCTTGTCTCAGTTACTGGAGTTTTGGGGCCACCAGCTCACACTCCTACTGAACATGGGTGTAGTCCAAGTCACAGGGCTGTGAGCTGGAGCTGCTCTTATGCCCCATGTGTCTGCTCAGCCTCCTGTATTCTGGGGGGGGTGTGTGATCTCCATCAGGAAGATGAAGCAGACAGCTGGAATTGATAATGTGGTAGCCTGCTGTGGCTATGTCCCTCAGAACCTGAGCTGCTAGATGACTAACAAGGCATTTCAGAAACTGCATGGTCAGATGGCAAGCACCTGTTACAGGAATTTTTCTGGGCTGGTATACAACAGCCTCTGTCTTTTATTCTCTCTCTCTCTTCCCCCGTCTTGTTAGCTATCCTCTACTGGCTCTACTCTCATCTGAATCTGCCCTAAAATTACATTGTTTCCATATAAGCATGGAAATCAGTGGTACATGTGAATAGAAGCAAAAAGCAGGCAAGCTTTGCATGTAAGAGTCCACATCTGTAAGTCTTGCAGTGATGTCAAGACTATCCAAATTGGTAAGCCTTGGGTGTTTCAAAATAATACTTTTTTAGGAGCAGACAGGCCACATAATTGAATGGAATAACATTGCTGCACTTGGCTAGGGTCATACAAGGACAGACTGGTGCTAGAGGAGCTGGTAATTAGCACAAGGAAGAAACATATTTAGTAATTACCCAACACTCCTCACCTTCGAAGCTCTTAATAAAATTACATAATTAGTCCTTATAACATTCAAGGTGATGAAAGGAGAGAGAAAGAATGAGGAGCTGTTTGGGATCTCAGACTTTATGTGTTCACTCAACATTTTCTCTCTAATGTCTATTTAAACGAATTAACCTGAATGCTCAAGGTTATATTTGACACTGGAATCTGCTTAAAAAGTACTGAGGAAGAAGCATCAGCTGAATTAGCTCCAGTTGTGCATCTAGATTTCCCTGAGCACCTTCAGTTTAATGAGCTTCTTTCTGGGCCTGCCTTCTCTGCATGCTATTGCCACGTCCAGACATGGCTGGGAGAAGCAGAGTGACCCTCTTTTCCAAAGAGAGCAGAGTGAATTATGAGACTCAGGTTGGCTGTGGAT